TGGAAAAAAATGGATTAAGGAAAACAGTTGTAGCTGGAGATAGGTAAATTAAGAGAGAAGAAACTATGACTATGGTTATTCACTGGTCATGCTGACTTCTTAAGAAGATACACAGTTATTTAGGTTCCAAGTCTAGGGTTGACTTGACTGGTTCTAGCGACAAGGCTTCTCTTTGTCTTGTGACTGGAGAGAGTTGCTTGATTCATGGTTTGGGTGTTTGGGTGCTGATGATATTCTTCTTGAGAGAGACTTTCTTAGTAACTTACTTATGATTTGGAATCCTGTGTTTCAGCCATAGCACTTCAGCTTGAAGCCTATCCTGTTTTGTGCAACCTTCCCACTTGTGGGCTGTCTCACAATTACTGGTTGTTACTCTTTGACAGTAGCTTAGTCTTCTTGGACACAGTTTGCGGAGTTGAGTCCCAAATATCTGCCTTATTTTGGATGTATTTGTTCTCTCAGAGATGTTTTGTTCCAGGGTCCACAGTACAGTGGAGGTTTAATTCATTTCTATATTCTGACCTTCAAAATCATTAAAAATACATCTAATTATGGTAAAGAAATGCAGAACTTCCACTTTCCCCCACAAATATTTGTAGATGCATAAAACATTTCACTAAATTCTAAATATAAGACAGTATCATCTAATCAAACTTAAAGATCTCAAAATGTGTTTAGAAAAAAATGAGTTGCCAGGCCCAGAGAATCTACTTAATAATATAAATTTAACAAACATTTCTTTATTTTTATTTTATTTTATTATTTTTTTGGTACTGGGGATTGAACCTAGGTCCTTGTGCTTGCGAGGCAGGCAGTAGAACCACTGAGCTAAATTCCAAGCAAACATTTCTTTATTAAATGTAAAGTGAAAAGCACCTTTGTAAGCTCTAGGTTTAAAGCTGGAGACAAAACAAAGATTCCACCTGTCTTCATAGACCTATTCTAGTGGAAGCTTAGCGAGTGTCACTGTCAGAACCTTCTCAGCAAATTCAATGAAATTCTTGGGGCTCTAACTCTGAGCTCTGAAAAGATAAGGAAACTGGACTTCAAGACAGAACCCAGATAGGTGCCAAAAGCAAATTCTACTCTCTGAGAACTAGTAGATTCTTAACTTCACAGTGGACAAACACTGATTCCTTTAACATGTCAGCCATGACTTCAGATCATTCTACTCAACTCATGCATTTCTCCACCTTTGATGCTCACAGCCCTCAAATGTCCATACAGCGCAAGAGGAATTAAACAATGGCGGGTTTTCTATTCCGAGGAACATCCAGGCCTTCCTTGTGTCTTTTTCCTGACCTCGCAGTCTACTTCTCTACTACTTCTCTGAGGTTTCTCCATTCGTTACAAATTAAGAAAAGAAAATTTGCAAACTAACATTCTAGCTAGTCAATTTCTTTCCTGTTTAGAATTTCTAGTAAATTTTTAGAAGGAGATAGTTTTTTTTTTCTTAAAAATTCTAAGTCATACCATTATTACAGTAACATTGCTGCACCTTCTTAGAAAGAATTCATGGACAGACAGGCACATACGTGAACACTGGCCAGCAGGAAGCCTCAAGGGCAGTAGAGATCTGAATGTTTTTCTAATAGCCACACTTCCTTCCAATGAACATTTCCCCAAAAAGTACACTGACAAGGGTCAAATGGAGCTATTTTGACCTTTTCAATGTAAAACATGAAACTAGATCTGAGGGGTTCACAACAGTTTTCACAAACTGTTAGGATTGTCAGTATACTTTTTTTCCCCTACCGTTCAACATATACAACCCAGATTAGACTTTGGGAGTTCAAAAAAGTCTCAGGTGCGATTTGCAACTTAATATGAGAAGTATTGCTGAACAGATCCTTTGAAAAAGCCTGGCAGTATTTGCATGAGTTAAACACTACTTTTCAGGATATTTTGCATCACCTCCACACTTCCCTGAATTAAAAACATTCTTTTCAGCAAGTCTCAACAACATAGTAACAAACTGGCAAGTTCATTTGCAGCAGTAGATGATTAAAAAACAAAACATTGACAAGCTTTTATGATTATAGTTTGCCAAGATCCTAGCGTCCCAAAAGCATTCATAGAGTTTGATAGATACATATAAATGAAACAATTAAAAATGGGAGAGATATAAATTGGGTTTTTCATTAGAACAAATGATAGAAAGCTTTGACCCCCACTTAGCACTCGGCCTTTTGCCAGCATTTTATTTTATTGTTTTTGACCTGAGATCATAATCTTTATAAGAAATAGTCAGTAAAGAGGCCAAGAGGTAACTAAGATGATGGGTGGTTGGAAATGAAGATTTCTTCAAGCATTTATTATCCTACAGAAATGTCTATCTGAAATATTAGTTCTATGGGAAAGGAGAGAAGCAGGGTTGTTATTAATTTTTAAGGCTAGCTGACAGTTTTCAGCCCCAGAACAGGGTTTAATTCTGTGTTTTTAATAATGCAGAAATTTTCAATAATTTGTGTAGGAATCAGAATGATAAATGTTATATTGTCTATGAAAATACTGTCATATCACATTATATTTATAGTTACCTTGCAGACTAAACTTTCCAGAAATATACTTAGATGGACTGGAAAGTTACCAATATTGTTTTCTTATTTTGCATTTAGAATTTGGAAAAACAATTCAAAAGGAATTATCTTCCTGACGGTGGGTTGGTAATGTCATATCCAAAGGACAGTTTGTTACTGCACCTAAAAGCCTAGTGTTGGCAGAAACTGCACCAGTCTATGAGATCATTGCAATTGGCTGTGGACATTACTTTTGCTCACATTTTCTTTCTGAAGGCCCTGGGAAAATTTAATTACATCTGCACTTTGGATTCCTCCTTCTTTCAATAAAAATGTAAAATTGCCTTTGTTTGAGAACTATCAGACTAAAAGGTTTGTGATTACTTTTCACTCTCCTCTCTCTTGCAGCAGATTATCATGTTAGGTTGGGCATATTTACTTTATTTTGAGCACCTAAGGCGCTTTCTGACTCTAATTATTATTTGAATTGATGGCAATGCAGCTATTATATCCAGATGTCTCTTGGTAACTTAATGTATGGTCCTAATAACAAACACTAGAATTAAACCATTAATAGAATGGGCTGATAGCAGCTGCTTCAATCTCAGTTTGATGGGCATTAAAATAGCTGATTCAGAGATTTCTGTAGAGAAATTTAAAGTTAATTAAAGAAATCAAAGCCAATGGAACTATAATATCTGTTAGTAACAATATAATCAATATCCACTGACATCATTATTTTAAAAGAAGGCTGTTAGAAGGTCAGAAAACATTTACCTGGATTAGATGAGCCTTTTATTTCACATGTCATTTTGTGTTTTCAAGTTTTACTTAAAATCACAGATCTCAAAGAAAAACTTTTTCTATTTTACTCTATTAGATAAAAGGAGACTAATGATTGCTCTGCTGTTTATCCAAAAACAAGGTAGGATTGAGTTACTGGCATCTTCTCAGAGCCTCCAATAAATCTAGTGAGGAGAAAAAAAACAAGGACTGTTCTTTGTGGGGGTGGGCTTTGGGGACACCTACTCAAAAGTACTTCATAAGGAATCCAACTGGGATTTACCAATGTATCAATTTTTGAAGTATCTACTTAATCCAAATCCCCACAACTTCCTTGAAGTCACAGTTTCAGTGAAAATAATTCAAAATCAACCAATTATCTGTGGTCATACAGCCTATCTTAGTTGAGAATTGAATCGTGGTGCTGCTCACTTTCTGTACATTAACTTCATTAGCTTGTGGAACTAATGAAACTCCTGTGACTACAGTTTTAAAAGCTATCACCAAAGTAAAATATATTGTCATTACAACTGTACTTTGGAAGTATCAGAAACTCTCTGGCTCATCGGTATTTTTTTTAAATCCCCAAGAAAGCATGTAACATATCATGCAGTATGTTTGCGTGTTTTCAACATCTGATACATTTAATCACAAGGTCTAATACTTCTTACAATTGACCAAATAAACTGAAAAGATATCCCATTGTCAACTGGATTCCATTTCGTACGTCATCTACTGCATCTATTGATGAGGTGCAACCTCAGACATTTTGGAATTATATTCTACAAAGAAGTTATAGTGCCTAGCTACTTATCTTCATTTTTTTGGTGGGGAGTGTACTGGTGATTGAACTCTGGTTTTGCTCTTGCGGGGCAGGTGGTGGAACCTCTGATCTAAATCCCTGGCCCATTATCTTCATTTTGTTAAAGAATTCACTTTATAATTCTGACAATAATTGCAATGCCGATGCCTAACCTCCAGTTTGGTTAGATGTGATTTGTCTAAAATAAATAACTTAAAAAAATAAATTTATATTTTCTTTGGTAACACATGAACATGTAAGAGAGTTATATGAAGAATGCCTTACATATAACCAAGTGCTCAATAAATGACATTTCATGAGCTATGTTGCCAAATCTCTATAACATATAAGGTTATGATGTATGTGCTTTATTTGGTGCTAAAATATGACAGCTTCTAAGCAGTGTATTAATTCTTTTATAATATCTCTTTTTTATATCCTATCTTAAAGGTTGCAACTTTTGGTTTTATCATAGCATTTTGTATATAGTTTTTATGTATATGGATTTTGCTATAATGTATCATATTGATATTATTACTTTTAGACATCAAAATTCTGCCACCAACATCATCGTGGTTGGTGGTGGATAAAGCTACCCCTTATTATCTACTCAAAATACTGTTTAGCTCTCTGCTGACAAGCTACTAAGATACCATATAACACTAGTCTTTAGGCTGCTGAGTCTGTGCATGATCCTATACAACTGAGAGTTTCAATATTCAGTATCACCTGATTTGTGTGCCGTTTAATTTGTCAACCTTTGATTATGACTTCACTTTGCCTAGTTCAATTAGTTTGGGTTTTAAATATGAAAGGGTTCATAGTCCTGTAATGATTAGTTTTGAAAGCTGAATCTCATCTAGAATGAACTCACCGGGAAATGTAACAGTACTTACAGGTGTCTTCCTCTTCCATGGAAATACTGATCACATAACAGGCATACACAAAACCAATCAACTGCAAACAAGAAAAGAATATATAACTTAAGAAGTTATGCCTAATGTCCATAAATATAAAGAATAGGTGTTAGTAACATCTATACAATTATAATAGAAAAACTTATTTTAAACAATAGCTATAACTTCAAAGAATCTTTGCATTTCTATGTTAACTTAATAGCTTTTTCAAAAATACACAGTAGCACTAGGGAGGCTGATACAGGGGGATTGTGAGTTTGAGGCTAGCTTGAACTACACAAGAAGACTCTGTCTCATAAAAGCATAAACAAACACAGGACCGAGGGAAAATAATTTCTAGATATTTCTTGTAGATTTTGATACAGAATTTAAAAATAAGTATAGCGTATTCACAGCACATATTTTTACTATATACAGAGCAATTTGTACTAGATTTATTATTACTACAACTATTTTAATGCTTAGAAACCAAAAAAGAAATCAAAATTTGCTGCTTATAAGTTAAACAGCAATCATGTCCTTATTTGAAATGTTCTGGGATGTAAATTCTATCTAGCTACTAAATTGTTTTGTTAATTATATAATAAGAAAATGCAGTAAGTTTCTGGTGATTAGTTGTGATAAAATGAAATAGAAGACATCATTTATACTTTGTATGCTAGTGGTTCAAAGAATAAATCCAAGCACAGAGTACAGCTTTTATAGCTTCTCATATTGTTTTCTGCTCTTATTATACTGAGAAAATGATTTTTACTCCATGGAGCCAGAGACATTGCAATTCCTGGAGGACAAAATTGTCGACAAATCAATTTTAGTCTAAGATTATTCTAAGTTGTTTGATAGGTATGAAAAATAGCTGCTTCAACAGCTGAAGAAGTTTATCTTCTTTCCTTTCTTTCCATTGTTAGTCTGTTTCCTCCTCCTATCTGTATTATAAAATAATATTTACAAAAGAAACTTTTCTAGTATCCCCAGTATCAAAGGTTGAAGTTCCATTGCCTTATTTTGGGTCTGCTTCCATTTTGGCAGAAGCACGTTTAGCGACAACCTGGCTTGGTCTTCTTTTCCTTCACTTCCCTTCCTCTGAGCTGAAATGCCTTTTGGGCATCTTGGCACCATGGGGAGCGCATGTAGATGCTACAAGATCCTTCCAGAATCTTCCTGAAGCTGCACTGTCTCTCCCTTGCATTCCTGCTGAGAACCAGAGCACGAGGCCACTAATACCTTTCTAATATATTTCCCATCTTCTTTCACATAGTTGCTACATATCACAATTATAGCCTTGTAAGATACGCTGATACTCTTTATAAGCGTAATTATTAATGACTACATACATTTGCTTTATTTGAACACATGTAATATATTTAAGCAATTTTTTATTGTTGAAAGTCACTTTAAATTGTAAATATTATGATGAGTATTAATACTTCTGTATTTTGGTCATCTTATTTCTAGGATTAGAACTATAATAAAAGTGTCTTAAAATATTTCTGTGACTGATTTTTACAGACTATTGAATTGATTTTAAAAAGTTTGTATGATCTCTATGTGGTAAGAACATTGAAAGTATTTTCTTCTAGCTTGTTTGAAAAATTTAATGCAGTAAATATGTATGATTATATGTCAAAAGCAACACAACAACAAAAGCTTATATCATTTCTTATCTTGGCAAATAAGTAACTAACAATTCTTGTTTTGCCATATCTGTATTAGCACAAGCTTAAAAACTATGTCAATAAAATGAACAAGTTGATATTTTTAAACATATTTTGCAGTAGTTGTACTACTTCTGAACCATTTTCATATTTCATTAGCCCTTTATGTTTTGGTGAATTATTAGACGACATTCTTTGCTATTTGTTAATTTGACATTGTTTTTATTTATTTGAATGAGTTCTTACAGAGTAAAGCTTTTGATATATTTACTGAAATTTTTTTCTTTATGCCAACAAATGTTAGTGGTACCTTCACAACACTGGGATCTTTTCTTACTAATCATGTCAGGAGATATCTATCAATCATTTCCTAGTTTGGGGTAGACTCTCCCTCAGGGTGTGTACCTTCCAACATATCTGTAGACCAAGAATTCTGTTGTATTTATTTTGTGTTGCAACAAATTTGCAAAAGTTCAGTGGTTTAAAATAACCAAATTTATTATTCAAAAGTTATAAAGTTCTGGAGATCAGAAGTCTGAAATGGGTCTCAGAGGGCTAAAATCAAGATGTCAGCAGGGCATTATCTCTACAGAAAGTCTGAAAAATGTGTTGTCTAGCTTTTTCTTTTTTTAATTGAGTTTATTGGTACATTTTAGGCATACAGTGCAGTTGCATTCATTACTGGGATCTTGTACCTTTACATGACAGGTCTTGGTTCTCATTTTTTCCCCTTGTCCCTCCCCTTGTCTCTCCCCTCCTTGTCTTGCTTTTTTGTAGCTTCTCCTAAAATGTTTGTGTTTCTTGCCTTTTGGTGCCATCTTTCCATCTTCAAAATCAGCAACACTGGACTGACTTCTTCACAGGCTTCTGCCCTAGTTCTAGACCTTCCATCTCCTTGTAAAGAATACTGGTGATTACACTGAATCCACCTAGACAATTGTTATGGTTTACATCCAAAATGTCTCCCCAAAGTCTTTTGTTCAGAGGTGAAATTTTTGAAAGATGATTTAATGACCAGGGCACTATATTTATCAGTGGGTCACTAACGAGTTCATAGCTGACTATGCTGTACAGTTCTGGTCATGTACAAAACATGTTGGTCAGAATAGGCAGGTCATTGGGGGCATGACCTGGAAAAGTTTATTCTTGTTCCCAGCTCCTCCTCCCTTCTCTCTCTGCTTCCTAGCTACAATGATGTGAACAGCTTTCCTCCACCATACCTTTTCACTGTGCCGTTTCTGCCTTGGAAAGAGCCAATTCTGGACTGATCCCATTGAAACCATGAGCCAAAATAAACTTTTCCCTCTTTAAATTGTAGTTTTCAGATGTTTCTCTCTTAGTTACTAGAAAGTGATTAACAGAATGATCTTGGTTAATATAATTTTTAAGACTACCTGATTATCACCCTTAACTCCATTTGCAAATAATTCATTCTCCTTTGCTATGAGTAGTAATTATTCAGAGGTATAGGGAGTTAGAATTATTAGACTGTGGAAACCATTTGGGGACCATGATTCTGCTTACCACAACTGTGAACTTGGATTTTAAGTTTTCAGGAGGCTCAGTGCACAATTTAAGCTACAGTAAAAGAAGTGATATTAATGAAATTCCTTAAGTTTTAATATATAGCGTGATCTTTAAAAATGACTAGGAAGAAATTTTAAGAAGTCATACCACATATAAATTTGTTTTTCATAGTAGATGACATCTTTCAATGTTTGGAAGAAAACTGCTATAATCAACATGAAGTTTGTACATCTAGTTTATGTTTTACAACTTTACTATATATTTTTATTAAAGACACATAAAGCAGAACCTAAAACAGTATTTATTTACTACTTCTACTGGCAATTTCAAATTTGGGGAATATTGTTTTCATTTCTATCAGACCATTGCTGTTTTTATTTTACATTCTACCTGACAGAAAGGTTATAATAAGAAGACAATGCGTGTCACCTTTGCTATTTCACAAAAATAAAGTCATCCAATTGTCCATAATTAATTTCACCCTCAAACCGTAGGTTCTTGCAGAAACACATCCAAACCACTTGCAATTTTGCATTAGTTTTCTTAAAAAATAGACTGCATAATATGTAAATGTACTTAACATAGAATACAGAGATTCTAATTCATCTCAGTAAACACAAGAAGAGCATCAGTGCTAATTCCATCACACAGCTGAGCTCTTGCTTCCACTGCAAGAGAAATTGCAGGCTGTTGCTAGTATTTTATTTTCATAGTGACCTTCTGACATTTGTGCCTACTAAGGTTGTCGAAGTTAATCCATAACTCAGATATTGTTGAAAGCTAACTTTTCTTAGGTTTTTATATACAAATAAACAGAAAATTGAGCTGTAACATGTCATTCTCTCAACTCCACAGATCATCTTGTACACCTCTTTTGATGCACTTTTGATGAGCTGTATATATAGGATTACTGTGTAAACCTCTTTCAAGACATATAACCTACTGTGGAGAACTAACTTCTAAGATGATCCTTTTGCCTGAAAATTAAAGAATTCCGGCAAATTGAGCACTAGTAACATAGACACTGACAGATCAAATTTCCTTTGACCTCTAAAGAGCTCGATGCAAATTGCAGCCAAACAGGTCAAGAGTCTTTTCTTACGCATTGGGACTAAAATAAGTGACACTCTGGGTCTCTTTCAGTTCCACTGCAAAGAAGGGAATAAGTAGAGGTGGAATGGATAAATCATGCTACAATAGAATATTTTTGAACTAGTTCTGTTTTGCACATGGACAGAAATTTAGAGGTTGCATTGCTAATTTTATCTTGGACATGGTTTATTAAATAGTACTCCCATAGTTGTGTGATAGCTGTTACATTCCAATATTATTTTTCATATCAAACTCTGGTAAATTAAATAGCATGAATCATGATTTTTTTTCATCCTTTTACTTGAGACGTAAGCAGAGAAACATATGAATGTTTTGACTGTGTGCTAAAGGCTTTTCCAGTAAGAAGCCAATGCCTTCACAATAGCTCAATATTACAGTGAGTATTATTTTTCTGCTGCTCTTATTGACTTACCTTTTTGAATAAAATATAAAACTTCTATTTATACCTTTATGTGGATTTTAAGGTGAATTATTGCTCTTTCATTATTAATGTCTTTTGAAATACGAGTAATGTCTGAAGTACATATTAGTATATCATTAGTCTTTCTGAGAAAACATATATTTTGGTGTTTACCAATATTGGTTCATTCAATTCAAAATACCTGGATCCAGCAGTATTTATTAGTAGATCCATCCACATTTACTGGTTGATCTATTGGCATTTACTGGAAGAAATGCCAGAGGATTGATGAGAAAGCCTCTGGAGTGAAAACTAGGTCATGATGAAACACTCTTCACATGTATC